CTTGTAGAAATTTTAAATTACATTTGTAGCAGGCATATTGCTATTAGACAACATTGTTCTAGAGCAGGGGTTGGCAAACTTTTGAGACGGAAGAGCCAATCCTGTCTCTCACAACAATTTAAAAATTACTCGAGAGCCATATAACAAATGAAATCACCATTATGTGAATAATATCCTTTAAAAATTGTATAAATGAAACTATGACAGTTTTATTTTCATTTTCAATTTTATTTCAGAGGCACATGTACATACGTACCCAAAGAGCCGCATTTGGCTCGCGAGCTGCAGTTTGCCGACCCCTGTTCTAGAGAATCAGTGAGATAAAGGGAAGTATCAGGTTATGTTTAGATCTTCTATTTAATCATTCTGGTGTGATGTCATTCATTCATCTTCTTGTGTATTCCATACCATTTCAGATCCCATGTAGATTAAAACAAGAGTGAGTTTTCGTACTTGCAGGGAACTCTTACTCTTTCTGTATGCGATTGCTTGGTATCCACACTTGAGTAGTCTTCATAATGGCATTTATATTCCTGTTCTTAATTTTCTACTGAATGTATCAATTAAAATGCTGAAGAGTCAGGAGGCTTGCTTTGTCTCCATGTGTGATCTGTTCCCAGGTTGGCTGTGATTGTATGTTATCCTCAAGAGCCTGTTTTCTCCCTCTCAGTTCTCACTGTGTCTCCAGGAGGCGCTTTTGACCTGCCAAGCACAGCTTGGGAGGCCATGGGCTGCCATGGTGACTTTTAGTAAGAAGGGAAGTTTCCGGGGTAGGTGCTATCTAAACATGTCTCCTTTGGGACAAAGTCAGTGATTTCCTGAGACTGCTGTTGCATCATCAACCATCCCTGTGGGCTAAGAGCCAGCTATGTTGCTGTTTAACTGCTCAAACAACATAAATGGACAACCTTTAATATATGATCTCATTTGTTTCTTAAACATTACGAAATGTTAACATTTGCCCCAATTTTATAGATGAGGAATCTAAGACTAAGAAAAATTGACAACTTGCCTAGGGTCACACAATTAGACACCTGATACCTAGTTTAATGTGTTTGTCTACATTCCCTGCTTCCATTGTTGTTCTGTAAGGAAGTAATTCATTTCTGAAAACTGAAATGGATAAAGCCAGTCTACACTGTGGAAATTGAGTTGTGCAGGTCCCACCCTGCAATTTGTTCTGCTTTTGTTTCAAAGCACCAAATATTTGACTTCTGTGAAAATAGTGCCAAAGTAAATTAGGCAGAACCGGAAACAGGAACTTATATACAAGCTTATATATTATTGCTGGCAATTTCAGATGTTTGAATTTCTTTGTACAATAAAAATTGGGATAATATTTGCCAAGACTAGANAGAGTTCGGGGGTCGGATAGCAGAATTGGCGGCGGGAATCGAATCGAGAAAGGCAGCCATACACCCAGCAGAGTTTGGAGTTAATGCTCAGGGCCCCTCTCTCTCACTCCCCATACCCAATCGAGTATTAGGTCCCGCTGATGCTACCCGCAGGTACTTCCCCCGGCTTCCGGCTTCTCCGCAATCCTACACCACTACCCTAATTTAGGACACCTTCACACTGTGTCTAGATTACTGCAGTAACTTTCTAACTAGCGACGCTGCCTTAAATTTTGCTACTCCACATTCCCAGCCAGAGTAAATCTTTTAAAATCAAATTCTATGGTTAGGAGCATGGGTTTTAAATAAAACGTGAATTTAATGACACGCATGTATTTTAAGGAGTCCTTACAGAAGCAGCTCTCCCTTCCCAAATTCTCAGACTACATTGCTGTCATGCAGTTGCCACGGTAACCAAAGCTTCTCCAGCCTTCTGCTAGGTTCTCAGAACTTGAGGCAGCGGAGCGTCAGGAGAAAATATCAGAAAGAGAACACAGGTGAATCCTAGCACAGCCCTTCGGGTTCCACTTTGAATGTGATTGATGGCACTTACCTGCCTAAAGCCAAGCTCTTCTGTACCACCAAACCCAGCCTCACCCCTCCGGAACCACGTGAGCCCAGCGGAAGCGGAGTTAGCGACTGCTTCGTGTGAGCATGCGCAAAAATCTGCCTCGGTCTCTCAGGCGACGCACAGACGCCGCTCCGCCCCTAACTCCTCCTTCCGCAAAAGAGCAGGCGCTGTCCGCGGCTCGACCCCGGAAATGACGCGAAAGTGGCCGCGGACTGCCATCTTCGCCTTGCGTTAGCTCCAGCTTTACATTTTAGGCTACCCCAGTCGGGAAAATGGGAGCCTTTGATTGCAAGTGGAGATTGGAGCGAAGGAAGGGCAGCTGGATGAGGTGGACAGTCAAAAAATCGGAATGTCACTTTGCCAAAGTAATTCACGGTACGATAACTTTGAGGTTTTTTGCTTGGCTCGTGAACGCGTTGTGCGAGCCTGAGAGGCGTGGCTGTGGAATCCTGACAAAATAAATCTGCATAGCCTTTTAATTGCTTCCTTGAAATCTTTTTTCCCTTTTCTTAAAATTTTAGTTTTGAATTTAGGTAACTGTTGACTACCTCCACAAAATTTGGGCAAGAATATCGTTTTGGCTCTCAGCTGGGGTTCTGCGGACCCGTGTGGTGTCCACTTTTCATGAGGAACCTTGACAAACATTTCATGAAATAAGAGTTGAAAGTAAGATGACTAAATGTGAAATGAGGGAAAGTTGAGGAGTTCTGGAGAAGATGGACCTGGAAAAGCAGGGACCCATGGGAACAATCATCTCCAAAATCTGGAAGGTCTAAAAAAAAAAAAAGAAAGACAACGTTTGAAGGTCTATTTGTGTAAGAAGGCTAAGAGTTTTTTCATAGCATCAGAGAACAGAACTAGGACTAAAGAGTGAAAGTTAAAGCAAGGAGGCTTTAACGTCATTACAAGAATTTTGTTCCTAACTAAGGCTGCACAAATAATGGCATAGGGGCGGGGCCCACAGGAATCTTGGAGTTCCCACTACGCTGAAAGTGAACCATTTGAGCAGAATCAGAGTACTGAAGAGTTGACTGAAGTGTCTAGTAAGAGTTTGTACAGGAATTCCATAAAACGCTACAAATACTTGATTCTATATTGTGCTCATAAACACTATGCAGTAGTTAATGAACTTGCAAGGAAAACTCCTTCTGTGTCATAAGCCCTTGGCCTCACTCAGGCCTGTGCTCTGACTCCACTGGTAAGACTGACCTAAATGATGATATGGTCCAGGAAGGCACACAAACAAAATAAAGTAGCTATAAGCTTCCAGTATAGAGAGTTGGTCTGGCTACATTTCTTCCCTTGCCAGGAGGTAGAATTTCACCTAAACCAGCCCAGAACTGATTTTATATGGCTACAAATTCATGTTCTCACAAAAACGGGTAAGAACTTTCTTAATGTTCTTAGATAACTCCAGGTAACAACGGATAAAAAGAGAAAAAGTTAAGAACTAATAATACCTTATATGCTCTACCTACCTCTTCCTTTTCTCGTAATACAATTCTGGTAGAAAATGTGTTGGGTGAAGAGAATAAAAGAAAATGGCTATACTGTATTTCATCCAATAGCACAAATAATATTTTAAAAAAACAAAAAACAAAGAAATGGCATGACTAAAACATAGACATAAAGAATGCAGAAGGCTTTCTAAACTCCAGTCTAGAAGAAAACATCCTAAGGATGCAGAAAGATGTTCTTATAACTGCATTGTGCTAAAGAGCAACTTAATATAACAAATTACATCTTTTAAAAGCTGCAAACTTACTTAGAGAATATTATTTTTGTGAATTTCAATCATTCCCATGAATGCTTTATTAATTCCTTGCAATCTAATAAAGTGCAAGCTGCAGACAACCAAACCATTGGAGAGACATCATAAATAGTCTATATTATATCACAGCTAAAAATATGCACAAGGTAAAAAAGGAACGTGGCAAAAATGAAAGCATAAAAACAAAAACAGTTCATATCATAACATAGAGAAAAATATTACCCAACTAAAAACTCCCTAAAATGCATGGACTAGGATGCTATTTCAGGCTGTACTGAGGAAAAAAACTATGTCCTCACAGGCTTAGTTTCTTATTTTTGCCAATATGGTGCCTTGAGCCACCATGCAAAGAAGTCCAGGCTATCCTGCTGCAGAGGAAGCCAGATGAAGAAGGAGTCCCTAGAGGATGAAACACCACATGGAGCCAACAGTCAGCATCTTAGTTCCATGCATATGGGGAAGACCTCAAACCGTGTAGCCCGAATCAATAACTTGTTGACTATAACTGCATGAGTGTCATGTCCAGCTGATAACACATGGAGAGAGGTGAGCTATTCTCACTGAACCTTGTGCAAATTCCTGACTGACAAAATTATGGGCAATAAAATGGTGGTTGTTTTAAGCCACTAAATTTTGGAGTTTGTTACACAGCAGTAGATAACTGAAGAATGATATTGGTAATCAGTATCTTTGATCTTTTTTTCTTCATCAGTCTTATTAGAAATTACCAGTTTATTTATGCCCTGGTCAGAAAACAACTTTTGTGAAATGTCAATATTTTAAAAAATTTTTAGTCTTATTGCCCCAAATATGGTCTATTTTTGTAACTGTCCCATGGGTACTAGAAAAGAATGTGTGTCCTGCAGTAGTTGAGCATTGTGTTCTATGAATGTTAATGAGGATAAGGTGGTTCATAGTGTTGTTCAGATTTTTCATATTATGCTACTATTGGGTCGTCGGGAAAGTCATGACGCATTTTTGCATTGAAAAACATAGAAAAATACGTATGTCATGACTTACCCGATGACCTAATATTAATTACTGAGATAAAGGTGTTAATTGTAATAATTGATATTGTTGAATTTAAGTCTGTCATTTCGACACTGTTTTAATTTGTCCCATTAGTTTAGTGTTTCTCTGTTTTTCACTTCCTGCCATTCTGGGGGTTAATCAGATGTTTTAGTATTCCATTTTAATCCGTATCTATTGGCTTTTACCTATATCTTTTTGCATTATTGTTTAGCACTATTTCTAGGAATTATGATACACATTCTTAAATTATCAGCCTACTTAGAGTTAAAATTGTGCTACTTCAAATAAAATAAAGGAAACTTACCACAGTATAGTTCCATTTACCACCACCCCCAAGTCCTTTGTGCTTCATTGTCTTATATGTTACATTTACATTCATTATTATTTTTGCTTTAAATAGTCATGTATTTTAAAGAAATTAAGAGAAGGGAAATATATGTTGCTTTTTTTTATTTACATATGCTTTACTGTTTTCCGTGCTTTCATTCCTTCTATTAGATTATCTTCAAAAATAGCATCCAGAAATTCTTCTCATTCCTGTATATTCATCTTGCTTCTCCCATTAAGAGGGAGAATCTGATTCCCCACCCCTTGAATCTAGGCAGGTCTTTTGACTTGCTTTGATGAACAAACATGGCAGAAATGATGTCATGCCAGTTCTAGATGGAGGCCTTAAGAAGCCTTGCATTTTCTACTTTTATCCTCTAGGAATTCGGCCAGCAAGTAGGTAAGTTTGGGATAGATTACCAAATAATGAAAAATGTGTAGAGAAGGAGAGAGGCCCATCCCAGCCGTTTTAGCTACCGCACCTGAGCCACCATGCATGTGAATGAAGCTATTTTGGAAGTCTTAGCCCTAGCCAACCTCCCAGCTGAATTGCAGCATCCACATGAGTGACCCTGGCCAACAATTCCCAAATCTGAAGAACCACCCAGTTAAGTCCAGCCAAGGCATCAAATAGGAAGAAATACTAAGCAATTACCACCGCAAACCACTATATTTATTACATAGTACAGGATAACTAAAACACTGAAGATCTGTTTTCATCAGGTGTCTCATCTTTCATCCTGACATGTTTTAACATCGCTTATGGTACCGGTCTGTTGGTGTTGCATTCTCTCAGTTAGTATTGATCTGAAAATGTCTGTTTTGCCTTAAGTTTTGAAGGATATATCCCACCCAAAATTCCAGTAGAGCTTTAGCAAGGAACACTTGCCTAAATCAGTAACCTGCTGTGGTCTCTTACTTAACTGCAACTGTGTTTTCCTACATGCAGACACATTGTTTTGTTACCCGTTTAAATGTCATTCTTGGTTTCTTTATATTTGTCAAGAATAGTAGATGTGTGTAATGTAATTATGAGAAATAAATAATAAAAGCATGACTGGTGTTGGAGCATAATGCTGACTATAGCTTATATTTTTTATTAAGGACTTCAGGTTCATCTGAGATGACAATGAAATTCCCAGATATCTCAACAAAAATCTTAATCTCTGATCACAAACAAACAAAAAGATTGGGGTTTTTTGAGAAAGCCACCATCATTCTTTCTCCTTCCACAGAAGTTCCAAGAGTGCTTGGCCAAATATAATTTTTAATCCCTACTTTCTAGTGCTGTGCTGTCTTTAAATGTGCCTGGTCTGAATTGAGACATGCTGTAAATGTAAAATACACACCAGATTTCAAAGATTTCATGTAAAATGAAGAATGTAAAATGCCTCATTGATAATTTTATATTGACTACAAGTTGAAATAGTAATATTTTGGATATATTGGGTTAAATAAAATGTATTATTAAAATTAATTTCATCTGATTTATTTTACCTTTTTTTTTTTATTGGGGAATTGGGATATGGGAACAGCACTGGGGAATTGGGGGAAGGGGAAAAGACAAGTTGCTGTCGTTTTGTTCTTCAGTTTAGTTGTGGAGGACGTTGCTTCACTGGCCCAAGTTGGCACCATCATAGCGCTCTTCCTGGGCAAGGCAGATCAGTCGCCGGCTTCTGGATGGCTGTTCACAGCGGCTGCTGGCCGCTCACACTAGCTGCTGGCTACACAGTAGCTCATGGCAACCCACTGCAGCACGGGCTGCAGCCTACGCCGTCGCCAGCAACGCACAGTATCTCAGCTCCAGATTGAGCTGTTGTTTGGCATCTTAGCTGTAGAGGACAGTGTCACTGGCCCTCATATGTGGGATCTGAACCGGGGCCTTCTGGC